AAGTCAAAAGTTCAAACAACTTAAAACAGCCCGTCACAAAAAGTACCTACCGGTACGCTCGAGTGTTGGTTGTACGCATCAACCGAAAGACTAAATTGGCAACCGGCGACAATACAACAAATCAGCGCAGACAACTTCTCTCCGGATCCCGCAGGATAACAAATCCTTTTGTAGGACTGTCAAAGGCTACGGACGAGGCAGCAAGCAGCTCCGCCGTCTAGAACGGGATGGAAAGAACCTTACTGGCAACCCCTCTTTTGGGGAACTCGCATGAAGGATGCAGGCTAATGCCGGCCCATGCGGGCGACAGGAGGTACTCCCCTTAAACGAGGTACCACGGGCCAGCATGCTGGATGAATGACTGGTGAGCTTTGGTATCTTGTTCTGGGGGGTGGTGCTTTGAGCGAAGGATGAGGTCACACGATGTGAAAGAAAAAAAAAATAGGCAAGGAGGGAGGGTCGGAGATATGCCAGCCATCACGGGATTGCACAAACTTTGTATTGATGAAAAGTACCGACAAAGCCACGAGGATCGTCTCATCATGACTTTTGGTGGGAGAGGGGTCCAATCCGGTTGTAGTCAAAACTCAGCTAACAATATGCCGTAGACTGAATAGATGGGTGTCCATTCAGATGGAGAAGTCTATTATGAGCGATATATACAACTACATCCGAGACAAGCCTTAGTGTCTGATTCGCATATCGCTATTGGACTGATGCAGCCTTCCAAGCATGCTATAGATGATCCACGGTAATCGTGGCACCATCTCATTATCTTCCAGCCCATACTTGTTCACAGAACGCCGTCAAATCATTAAGGAAGTCCTGTGGTCTTTCCAACGCTGCAAAATGTCCTCCCTGTGGCGTGTCAGCAGATGCCGCCAGATGCCGTCAGCAAGACTTGGTAAGCATACCTTCTCGTGAGCTTGCCAGAACACCAGGTTTCCGGTTGTCTCAACCCAAGCGCGTGGGGTGGGTACAAGCTCCTTCGGATAATATGAAAAGCCAAATGGCTTGCGGATGTACCATCGGGGGTCTTCGGCCTGTCTCAGCTTGGGCGGTGGGACGTTCTGGGTCAGGGTGAGTATGAGTACGAGGTTATAGGCAGAGGTAGAGTCAACGTACCTCCCGATAGTGGTAGATAGACCGGGGGAATGTTTCAGTAAACCAGTACAGTGATACAGATTCCAGGATACTCTCCAAGGGTATAGCCTCATCAGCCCAGTCGAGGAACTTCTCTCCGATCCTACATGTCTCGTTAGTTAGTTAATAAATGGTATATGGAAGTGCATACCAGGCGAGCAGAGCCACCGGGTTTGTGGATAGTACGTTGCCAATCGTGCTGGGTCGAGTACCATGCTCGAGAGCATATCCACTGCCATAGGTACCAAACCACTGAGCGCGAGCCAGCGCGCGTTTGTCTTCCTCAGTAATAGCGGTGTCTGGTACGTTGGAGGGCTTTCCCATATAGCACGCATTCACTAATGATGATTAGATGAAAACTTCTGCAGCGAAAAGACAATCGGCAGCTTACAATGCACGGCTTTGCAAGATTCATGATCTACTGCAAGTATGCGACCGATCCTTGATCCAATGTCTCCACCTTGTGCCACATAGCCATCCTCGAAACCGAGATTGAGCATCACCTTGTTGATGACGCGGGCCGTATCAACGCCAGTGAAGTTGACATCCAGCGGAGGACCAGATGAGAACGTGAACCCCGGAAGCGACGGAATCACTATATGGTATGGCAAGGTTTCTGGGCTATATTTGTCCCGAATTGAAGTCAGAGCGGGAAGAAACTCGAGAAAGCTGCCTGGCCAGCCGTGGAGAAGAACAATAGGGATTGCATCCTTTCTCTCGGAGAATAAAGCCACAAAGTGAATGGTCAGGCCCTCGATATCATACGTGAACTGAGGGAAGCTGTTGATACGGCTTTCTGCCGATCGCCTATATTTTTCAGCATTGCTAAAATCAGCTCACTGATGGACCTTACCAGTCTAAGCTCTTCCAAGCTTCCTTTGCATTGGCAAGCCATTCGTTGGTTATGCCATATTTACGATCCTGCTGAAGACCTTCGTATGTTGGAGGTGCGAGCTTCGACAGCTTGACCAACAGCTGTAGCTCCTCGATTTGTTCGTCCGAAACATGGACCTGGAAAGGGGATGGGATGACGGTCGTACCCGAGGGAACTTTGCTATAAGCGAGTGCCATTGTGATGTCTGAAGTTGTCAGACTGCAGATGTTGAGCAGAGGAAAGCTACAAAATGTGGTGAAAGCAAGGAGCGGGGTGACTTGCTGTTACATCACATGGTTTACTTGCACTAATATAGCTAGAACGATTTGATCGTCATGTCAGCAAATGTCTCGGTGTACTCATAAAGCTAGCATGCAACCGCGTGGGTTCAACTGGGACAGTCACTAACTACAACATAGAAGGTGAGTGGGTATTATGTGGAGTAGTATGGCTGTTTACGAGACCTGAGAGGTGTACGAGCATCTCGTAATAGAAGTTTCTATTGGGCAAGGCAGCAATGTCATGGTTCTACACGCCTGCTGCCTGCTAGATCTATTTACGGAGGAATCTGTCTCAACAGCTGTCAGAATGGCCCTTCTGTTGTCAAAGATCTACTAGATGATTCTAGATCGCTGCAATGATCTCCCGCAACAGCTCAACAAGTGATGTGATTTCTTGCTCTGTCTGATGTTAGTACTCCATCGTTGAAAGTAGGTATAAACTGACCAGTATTGTAATGTAGCATGCTAATCCGCACAACTCCATCTTCGACGTCTTCCAAGCCTATGATGTCCTTGAGCAAGCGATGACTGTACATATGTCCGCTGCGAAAGCCAAAAGGGCTTCTTTTCTCCACCTCCTCAACTAGCGCTTGGCTCTTGATGCCTTTCACGGTGAAGCTTATCACCGGAACTCGCAGGTCTTTGTTGGCGGAAGGCTCGCCATGGATGGTTACACGGTCATTGCTTCTCAGAAAGTCCAGGAGAATCTCCTGCAGCTTCTCTTCGTAGGTGGCGATTTCGTCCCATGTGGCGGAGAAATCAGAGCCGAAGTATTCCAGGACACGAGGAATGCTTTGTGTGAGCTCATAGTTGGCGGAAGCCAGGTTCAGCCTGAGGTCGAGGGTTTCCGTGGATTTGAAGTAATGGCACAGCGGATTTATCTGGTCATGGATTCGCGACGATGCATACAGCTGGGCGATATGAGGACCATACACTTTGTACCACGAGAATGCCTGTCGCTGTTAGATCACAGTTTGCCTACACTCTAGTTTCACTCACGTAGAAGTCGACATCGAGATCCTTGACGTCGACTTGGCGGTGTGGAGCAAGCGCGACACCGTCAACGCAAAGGAGAGCCTATGTCTTATGAGATGATGATAGAGCATATTAAGGATTGTCATATCATACCCTAGGAGCCTGATGTACAACCTTGGCAATCTCCTTTACGTTTGTGATGGATCCTGTGATATTGGAAGCATGCGGACAGGCAACGAGCCTGGTCTTCTCCGACATCAACTGCTTTAGCTCAGAAGGATCGCAAATGGGGTTCAGAGGGTCTGAAGCCCCCCACCACTTGACTGTAAGCCCCAAACGACGCGCGATCCTGTCCCACGGGGCAGAATTGGCCTCATGATTCAGCTTGGACACGATCAGCTCGTCTCCGTGTTGGAAGTCTAGAGCTGTGGAGAGGTTGTGCAGGAGCTGCGTTGTTGAGACACCCAGACAGATCTGCATGGATTAGCATTGTACATTGATGAATAGACTTTTCCTACCTCCTCAGGCTTCGCATTTATGAATTTTGCTGCTGCTTTGTAGCCGTGATCGTAAGCGGCAGTTGAGACCTTGGAAGTATTGTAGGTTGCGCCCAATTGAACGTTAGTCTTTGAGAGATATGATGTCACACTGCACTTGGTTAGGAGAGTTTGCCAACTGCTAACAGCCGGGGGACATACGATTCGATCACTGTGTCCAACACCTGGCTGCCTCCTATATGCTATTAGCAATTCCCCGTTTACGATACTGGTGGGTAGGATGTGACCGACCTGCATTGTCCAGGAAAATCTGCTCCTGATTCAAGGCGGGGAAGCGAGAACGAGCCTGCGAGATGCTGAAAGACATGTTGAGTGGTACAGTTGGTAGGTGATGCAGTTGACCAAAATTGATGTTGTATGGGATGAACCGAGATGCCTCGTGGCAGCCTGAGGGGAATGGCAGCGAGAGGGGTAAACTGGCATCTCCACTCGCCCCATTCTTAGCTTTATCGCAACTTCGGGCGCGTCCGAGTACTCAGCAACATCAGATCTAATAAGTGGTCAATTTTTGAACCATCTTGATTTCTCTATGCTGCCTGCTGACAATCATGATTATAGACTGCAGCACTCCTGGAGACGGAGACTACACAAGCGGCACAATCACACCCAAGATGAAGCAGAATAAAGACAAATTACCCGATTTGCAAATAAGAAACTCGATGAATCATTATGTCTAATACAAAACCGCCTGGTAGCTCTATCTGCATACCACAGCGAGCCGATCTCACGTTCCATGCACCCTGAACCACGGTTCGATCGCAGAAGCTGTCGGTTGAGCCAGTGCCTGACGTCAGGTGGGAGGCCTCTTACTTTGCGTGATACTATAACCACTTATCAGGCAAAAATGGCATCCTCTCGAGCACCCCGCTGTTCATGTCTTATCGAGTCTGGGCAGATAGTCTGTTCGGCGACGCATCCAATAGTAGGGTGGTAGCTATCGCAGCAGGGATGCTTATCATGCACCAGCTTATCTGGCTGGACCTAATGGGCTGCAGATCGTGATTGTCAGCCTGCAGCTTTCTTTCTCCAGCATTTAGACAGCGCAGCTTGTGCGACCGTATCCCTTACATCGATCTACCATATTGCTTTTTCGCTCCCGCGCCTCTGTATCGGATGACTTGAACCTCTTTCCACTTCATCTACCGCATCTCGGCGGCACCATACCTAATCATGAAGTTCAGACGGCCTCAGCTTCGAGTGCCGCAGTCGCGCTCTGCTTTTGCGGATGGAAGTGCTCGCTGGACCAATCTCGATCTCGATCCGGTTCCTTTTCATCGTCGACAATGGGGACCGCTCAGCTTTATCTGTACGACCCCTTTTCTGTTACTCTTGCTGTGCTAACGGATGTACAGCGTATTGGGTCTCCGATGCCTTTAATGCAGCTACATGGCAGTTTGCTAGCAGTATAATAGCAGTCGGCCTTAGCTGGCGCGAATCACTCATAATCGTCGCTATTTCGTTCTTCATCATGTCTTTCGTCATCGCGGGCAACGGCGCTGTCGGTGCGATCTATCACATTCCGTTCCCGGTGATCTCACGGGCTAGCTGGGGATTCTGGGGATCATACGTCGCCATTGTTTCTCGGGTCATCTTAGCACTGTTCTGGTTCGCGATTCAGAACGTCAACGGCGGCAACGCCGTGCGTGCCATGATTGGAGCCATCTGGCCTAGCTTCTTGAGGGTGAAGAACGAGATTCCTGAGGATCAGGGCATTACAACGAATGGCATGGTCGGATACTTTATCTTCTGGCTGTTTCAACTTCCGTTTCTCTGCATCCACCCGAACAAAGTGCGGTGGCTGTTCGTGGTCAAGTCCGTGCTTGTGCCGATCGCATGGATTGCGATTTTGATCTGGGCATTCGTGGCAGAGGGAGGAGGTGCAATGTTCGAGCAGAAAGCGACTGTCTCGGGGTCACAGTACAGCTGGGTGTTCTTGGCGAGCATGACATCGGTTCTGGGGAACTATGCCACTCTTAGTGTGAATCAGTCCGACTTTTCTCGATACTCGCGTGTTACGGCAAAGTGGCAACTTCTCTATGTCCCTATGCTGCCTATCGTGTTTACATTCATCTCATTCATCGGCATTGCTGCCTCCTCAGCTGGCTACGCCAGATATGGCGGTTCAGTCCCATGGGACCCGATCGAGCTAATCAGCCACTGGTCCAGCCGGTCATGTCGCTTTTTCGCAGCCTTCTCATTCGCTCTGGCTTCTCTGGGTGTCAACATCTCCGCCAACTCGATCTCAGCAGCCAACGATCTGATGGCCCTGTTTCCAGGACACGTCAATTTGCGCCGAGGCCAGATCATCTGCGGTATTTTATCATGGGCTCTGGTGCCATGGAAGATTCTTGAATCGGCGGACAGCTTCTTGAACTTCATGTCAGCGTATGCCATCTTCCTAGGACCGATTGCAGCTATCATGCTATGGGACTTTTGGCTGCTAAAGCATGGAAAGTATGATACCCTGGCTCTGTACCAGCCAAACAACCCGGTGTACCGATACTCGAAATGGGGCGTGAACTGGCGCGCCATTGTAGCGTTTATTGTCGGCGTGGTGCCGAGTCTGCCAGGGCTGATCAACTCTGTCAACAGCAGTGTCTCGGTTGGCGTGGGTATCCACCCGTATCAGTTCGGATGGCTGCTGGGATTCGTGGGAACCAGCGTAGTGTATGTAGGGTTATCGTGGCTATTCCCTGCCCGACATGCTATTATCGACAGGGCTGTGATGGCAGAAGAGATCTACGACGGACGGGAAGTTGACGGAGAATCCGAAGAAAAGTTGGACAACATGCACGAGAAGGCCAAAGTATAATACTTTTGAAGCATATAGCCAGCGATATAACAAATCTATAACAATGCACCCATAACACACGTTTTAACAACAGAACCCATTACCAAACGCCGTAGCAACACAACACAACACAACACAACATGAATCAGCAAATCAGCTAAACCTCCCAATCCACCCCCCTGGCCTCCTTCAACACCTTACTAACAGCAGACGAAGCGCGCCCAACCTCCCCGCCATCCTGCCTCGCACTCTCCAACCCACGCTCAACAGGAACCAAAAACCGTCCCTTAAACACCCGGAACCTCTCCTCCCTCGTCTCATACATCTCCCCTTCCTCATCTCTCGGCGCACCAAACAAATTCAAATACACATACGGCTGCGCCGACTTGGGCACCATGTGCACATCCGTCTGCACAATCGGGAACCCACCACCACCACCAGTCCCAGCCCCAGTCCCAGTTCCACTCTCATCCACCTCCATCTCACCATCACCATCATCCTCCCCAATCCCAGCCTCCAAAAACTCCGCCAACACCCCCAAAACCTTCACCATGGGCTTCCCCTTCGCGCCAGCCTTCCCAAACGCAGCCCGATTACTCGACCACTTAGAGCTCTCCTCGGTATGCCATCCCAGCACAGAGAGGAAGCAATTCAGCGTCTTGATCCAGCCGCCTGCGCACGACACCACGGCTTCTCCGGCAATCTCAACCAACCAGGAGAGGACGTCCACGGCTGTGACGCGGATGTCGGCGGCTAGATGCGTCATGCCGGCGCGCACGTACGGCATTAGGCTGGCGACGTGGTCTTCCACGTCGCTTGGGGGCAAGGTGCGGAGGAGCTTGAGGAGCTGGGTGCGCACGGTTGTGCTGGCGTCCAGGATTAGGGGGGAGAGGGTGGGGAGGAGGGTGCTTACGGGGATGGGGAGGGGTTGGGATGTGGGGGCGGAGGTGAGATGGGTGGTTAGGTGCGCGAGGGAGTCGCGGCGCTGAGTGTCGGATTTGGAGTTTAGGAGGGAGACGTGGTGGGTGAATTGGTGGGTGGTGCTGGGGGCGTGCAGGGTGAGGGATTGTTGGGTTAGGGTTATACCTATACCTTTATTAAAAGGATATCACGGGTGGAAGGGGGTAGTGGGAAAGTTACTTTTGGATTTGAAGCTCGTGTCGGTGAAATTGTCGGGTTTGGCTTTGGCTTTGCCGACTTTGAGCTTGGGTTTCTGGTGAGATGGTTAGTATGTTGGTTGGTGGGTATGGGAGGGGGTATGGATGGGAGGGGTGTATGGGGGTACCTGGAAGTCCTTCTGCTTCTCCTTCTTCTTTTTGGAGCTGGAGCCCATGGTTACAATGTATAGACTCTGTGTTTCTGGGTAGGAATGGTGTATATGTTGGATATGGGGTGATTGGGGCGTGGTTGCTGGTTGATGTTGTTGTATGAATGCGATGAATTTTTATATGGTCACGTGTGTCATGTGATATGGTGGATGTTATTGGTCAATACCAACTACACAGACTAAGATACAGCCTAGTAGTGAACTACGATAGAAGCAGACAGCTGATAATTAAGATACAGCTATGTTGATCATTTACACTATATCCCTATAATCTACATTATGTATGGTACTGATCCTACATGCACCTTCCTACCATAACCACAACCACAATCACAATGACCAAATCATCCACCCTCCCAATCTACACCCACCTCATCCCAGCACTCATCCTCCTCCTCGCCCCATTAACCACCTCCCCCCCAATCCCAAATTTACTACCACCACTCCCCCCAACACCCCAATCCTTACTCCACCTAACCACCCACACAGCAACCCTCACCCTGTTCCTCTCATCCCTCTACCACATCCACGAACACAAGTCCCCACAAACATCAAACTTGTACCTCCGTCTCGACCAACTAGGCATAATCCTCCTCATCGTGGTGAACTCCATCACGGGGATATATTTCGGTTTTTATGAGGATATACCCATAAGGAATGGGTATATGGTATTAGTAAGTCCTACTACTAACTAGTATCATGATATATTATATTATATACTGCTCTCATTGCTAGATTAGTATCATAACTAACAATAAGTACCTGAATAGGTATTCCCAATAACAACACACCTCCTACTACCATCCCGATATACATCATCCCCCGAATACAATACTTTACGGATTATATCATTGCTACTCCCCGCCCTATCGGCAGTCATACCCATATTCCATGGATATCTCCTCCACGGCGGGGAATATCTCCTATCTGTCGGGGTGGGGTGGTATGTTTCTGAGGGGGTGGTGGTTCTTCTGGGTGTTTGTGTTTACCTCGTATGTATAGTTTCTATTTCTCTATTTCATCTATTCATTCAATCATTCATTACTACTACTACTATTTTTCATCGTTCTGTCTTGGGTAGAATGCTAATGGGGATAGACACAATTTCCCGAGCGGTGGTATACTTCTTTCTGGACGGAGGTGTGTAGTTCGCATGTTGTGTGGCATGTTTGTGTTGTTGTGGGCATTGGGTTCCATTTCATGGGTGTCATGCAGGCTGTACGGTTCTGGTTCGAGTGATTACAGAGTAGAGGGAGGTGGATGAATGAGGAAATGTCAGTTCATTGAACCATCCTTAGACTACCTAGCTATTCATAATCACAATCAATCACAATCACAATCAAAGCAGAAAATCACTCTAAACAAGGAGATGCGCACTTCTGCCCGGTCCGAATTCTGAAACAAACAAACATAACACAATGAAATAAAAAAAAATCATCGAAATCAACATCAGCAACAGCACAGCAGAATGGACCGGACAGACGCGATTGTATCAAGCAAAAACACACAATAAAATCCTCCCGCTCATCCATCCCCTTCATTAGACATGTACTAAGCTTCCCCAAGAACCGAAATCGCATCACTCATTAGACCTGCCGCCAGCCAGCGCAGACCATTACCTTGCATATTACCAACTCCTGCTCGTCTAGCGAGAACTCCTTTGCTGCGCGGTCATGTCTATCGTGGAACATCAGAAACAAGAAAAGATTCATCCCGTGAAACTTGTCTGCAAAGTTTACAGACTCATAGTCAGCCACTCCCATTCCTGGCTGGCTCCTTGCCCACCGGCGATACTGTGGTTGGCCGGATTGGCTGCCGCCGGGGGCATCGCCGGCGCTAGAGGCACCACCTTGGACCGTCCGCTCGCCGTGCTCGACTTGCTGGCTTCGTCGCCGCCCGCCTCCGCGTCCGTGGCCTTTTCCAGCCGACGCTGACGCTTTGGCGCCATCTGCACGGACGAAGTTCCCCGACTCTGTCCTGGAGAACTCGTCGTCGGGTTCGCCTTCGGAGGCGCCGCCGCGATGGGGACCACGCCTGCGGCTCTGCCCGACGTACTGCCACCCGGCACCGCGGGCGGCGACTCCGACGACGTCGCACCACTCTGCGCCCGGCTCGACGTCGGCGTGGTGACTGTCGTCTGCTGCACCGAGTTCTTGCGGGCCGACTTCTTCGACGCGCGCGATGTGCCCACCGCCAGACTGTTGGCGCTGCTGCGGTTGCGCTTCTTGATGACGTCCGTCTTGAGCGACAGTGGCCGCACCACCCCGTGCAGCTTCAGGAACAGCCCGCAGGCGTTACACAGCGGCTGACCCTCTGGGTTACGCCGCCACAACGGGGTCGTCTGCGTGAAGCAGTTGGTACATGTGGTGGGGCCACTGCTCTGCTCACCGTTCTTCGAGCCACCCGGACTGGCCGGCCGAGACGGCACGGCACTGTTCAAGCCCGACTCTGGCGGTGTGTTGGGTGACGTGTGTGAGGTGTTGGCGTTCATGCTCTGCCGCAGCAGCTGTGCAGTATTAGGAGTCGACGTCGTCCGCGCAATCTTCTGCCGCCGGGGGTCCTGCTCGCGGTTGCGCACCTCGCTGACCGAGGCGGCCGAACCATGCGTGCGTCCCAGACTGCCGCTTTGAGTCCACTCGCTGGGGGTATCCATCATGTCGGCGGACCCGATCGTTACATGCTTGCGGTGCTGCGCGCTGAAGCCGGGCAGCGAGTGGAAAGAACCGGGGAACTGAGCATCCCACTGCATGCCACCGTTCATGTCCGCACCATCATCCAGATCACCAGGCATCGTCAATCCCGCACGGTCGGAAAACTGGTTACCATCATCATCTTCATTGTCCGAATCAGCGCCGAAGCTGAACATAGCCGCATGAGACGCCCCGGTCGAAAAATCGTTGGGGTTAAGCACCTGAGTGGGATCGACGTGCTGGGGCTGGGGAATGGGATAGCCCGGCGAGTGCATCGAAGACGAATGATTGCCGGTGTGGTGCGACTGGTCCTGGTTCTGGTTGAACATATATCGCGGCTGCAGCGACGCAGACAGGTTCGACGTGCGGTGCGAGACATAGTTAGGAACGCGGCGCTGCGTGCGCGCATCCACCGAGGGCATATCGAAGAACATCGAATGCTCACCGTCATACGCCGGCTGCGGTGTCGACGCGGTAGACTGGTATCCCGACGGCGGCGGGGAGAAGAAATCGGTCGAGTTGAGGGACGAGGCCACCGGCGTGTGCGCATACAGGTTGGCAAAGGGGTTGCCTGACGTCATGGGGGACTCGGTGGGAGAAAAGGTAAACTGGGTCTGGTAGGGACCGGCGGAAGTAAGGATCGGATCTTCACTCAGGCCGTAGGTATCCAGACCAAACGGCATGCCAGGTGAAGTGTGGTTGTGGTGGGAGGAATGGTTGTTGTTATGGGGCATCGCAAAAGCCGACGACGCATCGAGGGCGTAGTCAGGCACACCGCCCGACAAGTCCGGATCCTGAGCCAACATCGCGTTCGACACGGGCGGCACCTGGGGCGACGCCTCGGCCGGGCGTTTCCGGGTGGGCACCTGGAGGTTGAAGAACTGGCGCTCGTCGATGCTCGTCTTGCGCACCCGACGAGGTACGTAGCCGAACTCGCTGTTTCTTCGCTGGTCCTGGGGTGGGTGGGGGAACGAAGCGGGCACGGGCGTGGACTCAGCCACCTGGTCCTTGCGGGACTTGATCGGGATGGCTGCCGACGTTGACTCGCCTTTTGTGACTTGGGGAGATGGGTGATCGGACGGAGACTCGAAGGGAACAATGAAATCGTCGAGGTTCATAGGATCAGAGGTCAGGTCGGTGGAGAGAGAGGGATTTGCCGCGGTCGGCTCGCGATCAGTGAGACGCAGCTGAGCAATGCCACTAGGGCCGGAGACGCTGTTTCGAGCGGAGGCACTACTATTGACGCACGAAGTTCGATCAGCATTCCATCGAGCGACGGCAGGGGGGGAGGAACAGAGGATTGACGAGGCACTCCACCTACCGAGATTGCTGAGCACGTTCCCGTTCCTTGCGTTTCAAACTCATAGCCATCATCCGCCACGTCAGGTTCTCCATGCGCTCTTGGTTGGGCAACTGAGCTTTAGTCCTGGAATACAACTTCCATATCTGGGTGGCTAATGGATCCTTTCGTTGCATCTCATCCGGACCATCAAATCCGGGGCGAGGCGTACCGACCTTCCATTCCGGAAACAGAGAGTCGTTAAGCAGACTGTCGGGGGCATTCGAGGAATCAGCAGGGCTGATTGGGGAGCCAAAGGAGAAATCGTCAGAGAGTTGAGAGGAAGTCGGAGGGAAGTGGAGGGGGTTGTGGGAGGTGGTGGTGGAGGAGCGGCGGTCGGCGTCGGCGGAATCCTGGAGAGAAGTAAAGGCCGCGGGTTGCGTCGGTCGCACACCACCACCACTGCCTCCTCCCCCCAGGGTCAACCCGGACATGGTTGTCTGATTGGAGGAAGCCCTCAAGGGGGCACACGAAATAAAGGCGGAGAAAAGTAAAAGGTAAGGTAGTAAGTAACAGAGAGAGAGTAGCGAGTCACCCCCCAAAAGAGAAATAAATTAAATGAGGAAAAAAAAGAAAGGAAAATCGATGGAAGAAAAAAAGGAAAAAGATAAGGGAGGTGCAGGAGGAGAGATAGGGATGGAGGGGAGGGGAAAGACTGGGGAAAAGGCGAGAGGACGGCGAACGACCAGAGAGAGTCGACGGCGAAAGATAAGCGGCGAGGGAGGGAAAGAAGAGGAGGCCGGATTAAAGGGCGGAAAAGGAAGAGCGAAGGAAAGCGAATTGAGGCACGCCGCGCTCAATTGGCCGGTGGTCGCAGCACGAGGAATTCCAGGCTACCCGCCGTAAACGACCAGATTCAGCCAGACCCTGGACAATAATAATCAATCGGATATCTCCAAATTGGATGTATAGGTGGTCTCCGCTGTCTTGTGTCTGTGTCTTGTTCTGTCTGTCTCGGAGGATCGCGGCGAGACAAGACTGGACTGTGTGGGAGGGGTTCGATCGTTTTCCCCCCAAAAGGATGGGGAAGGGAAGTCGAAAAAAAGAAAATAAATAAATCAAAAAGAAAACCAGAACTAAAAAAGCGATCAAAAAAAGAAGAATCGAAAAAGAAGTAAGTTGGAAGTAAGCGCAAAGTAGTAATGGTGGTTGTCGAAAGTCAAAACGAGGTGCAGTAGTAGCAAAGTAGTAGCAGCAGCAGCAGCAGGACAACGGGAGCTAGGATCGGGAGCAGGTCAGTGGTGAGATCAACTAGTAGTCGCAAGTAGTAGCAAGTAGCAACGGCAGGAAATAGTAATAACAATAATAACAATAATAATAATCATAAATAATCATCATCATATTATCTTTTTCTTTTTCTTTTTTTTTTTTTTTCTTGTCGTCCCTTCCCCTCCCTCCTCTCCAGATGCAAGTGGCTTGCATGGACTGCATTCCCCCCGGCTTTTCCTCTTCCTTTTCCCTTCTTTTCTTTTTCTTTTCCCCTTCCGTCGTCTGCGGCGGGATCCGTCCGACAGGAAATCGAATAAAAGTAAAATAAAATAATACAATCGAAACACAAAAAAAAAAAGACAAGAAGGTGTATGTGTGTGTGGATGTTGTTCACAGTGTGCGTACCTTTTAGAAAATCCCTAGCCTTGCAGCTAATCCGTCCACGAGCAATTTCGCGGCGGGTAATTCTTTTCCTTCTTGATGTATGATTCCTTTTTGTAATTTTATATTCCTTTGTCGATCTTTGATTTTTATTCGTTTCCCCCTCTTATGGAAACCCAATGGATCAGATGGGGTTTTTGTTCCTCCTAGATGTGACGTAGAAGGGGGGGAAAGCAGTGAAGAGTGAGGAGGCGAATCCGAAGGAATGGGTGAGCGAGGATGTGAGGATGCAGGATGATGATGCTGATGGCTTGACCGGCGAGGGGGGGCTAGACCCTCCCGATGCACATGACGCGCTGGTAGGCTGACTTGAGAGAGAAGAAAAAGGCAATGTTAAAATGCAATCAATAACGGTAAATCAAAAAAAGAAAAAGTATAAAAAATAATGATAAATAGAATTGGGACAAGATTCCAGCCGGGAGGGAGATAAGAAAACAGACTGGGGAGGGGGCCCGGAGAAGAAATAAGAGGAGAGGGGAGTAATAAGATGAGAAGGCGAGAGCGCGAGAGAGAGAGGAAGAGTAAGAGAGAGAGAGAGAGAGAGAGAGCGCGCAGCAACAGCCGTGGAGATGAATAATAATGCGATACCTTCTAGTAGTAGATGACGGAGCCGGAGAGTGGAAAGTGGACACCGGAAGTGGAGAGAAGGGCTGCAAGTCTAATCCAGTCAAGGTCGGGCCTTAATTATTACAAGAACAAGAGACAGTCAGTCAGTCAGTTGTCTGTCAAAAAGAAAAAAAAGAACAGGAACAAGAACAGAAGAACTTTTGCCCCTCTCTTGTTTTTTGTTTCCCTTTTTTTCCTTTTCTTCTCTTTTCCTGTGAAAGAAGAAGTGGGGAATTGATTTGGGAAAAAGGGTATCACTGACTCACTTCACTCAGTTTTAACAACTCTTTTGCTGCTGCTTCTTCTTTGATTCTCTTAAAGCAAGCAACCTTTCATTCACAAGCCAGATGCCCGGTGGATGCTGTTGCCTCCATCCACGGGTGGGTTGGAGTTTCAGTGACCCAAGAACCAGTCACAATGCGCGAGGAACGTCCCTGCGCATCCACGCTGATTTGCCCGCCGGGATTCTGCCGGAATTTTTAGCTTCCCGCCGTAAGTAGCAGAACTGGCGAAGTTTGGAACTGAATGAATGGTAAATGGAAATTCAAGATTCACTGCAGTAACAACAACAACAATTCACATCAATTCAATGTCCTGGCAGCAGGAAAACAACAAGCCTGGAGTAACAATGGTATACAGGATATATTATATACAATCTCCATTATGACCTCCAACCACCTCCAACTCATTGCCCCTCCTTTTTCCCCTGCTGCTTGTTGGGAATACGTTGTTTCTCTCCTACTATAGTACTAAGTAAGTATCCTTACTAGCTGCGTCTCTGCAGCTTGGTTCCATACCCATGTAATACCGTGACGGTCGGCCTGGCCAGTGGCGCGGGTCGGGATGGGTTTTTGGCGTTTCTCGAAGCACTAAAGCTGCAGTAGCGCCGTCCGTTTAGATTAACCCATCCATGCGTCTCTTCTCACATAGTACTAGTCTCCTCTCGAGACTTGCTCTCTCCTCCCTGATCATCCGTCTCGGAAACGATGGTATGTTTGTTGGTCTAGTATAGTATGTCTGGCTGTCAGTCAGTCTACCTGACACGCACGACGGGTCGAGATCATCACGACACAGTTAATCAACTACTCTGTAGCTTGCTTTTCTCATCCAAGACCCAAGACACGCACCATGACTAGTTAGACTCTCCATCCAGCAGAGGGATGCGACTAAAAAGATGGATGCAGCAGACCGATCCGGATCCTGATTCGGAGCCAGGAATTGGCCTGAATTCCCCCACCAATCATCGCCCGCCAAGCGACCGTAAGGGCCGACCGTCGCTGGCTTGTCGCAGTCATGCCCAGCCTATGGTAAAACAATCCGAGTCCTGAAAACCCCGACATAACTTACTTCCCAGTCGTAGCCGGCTGCTGCTGCTGCTCAATCTGATGTATACGAATTCTCTTGTCCCAGGTATTCGGGCCAGCGAGCTCCGCGACCCTCCTCGGGGATTAGGTTTCCTGTGCCACTCACTACTTAGTAGTACAGTAGATACCTCCCGTAGTCCTCCTCGCCACAACCATCGACTCACCTCTGACACATCGCGCGCGCCAGTCCTGTTGGCTTCATACAAATCATCAATGTAATCAAGTATACTTCCCCCGACTGATGGGCCGGAATGGACTGGGATTGTGATCAGCCGATGCTTCGCTTGACTAAAAAGCTTACCCCCCTATCGTCGGCCGAAATCCCATATAAAGCTGTTGTTATCGCTTGGGATAATGCGATCTGAGCGCACGATAGTCGCTCCCTAGTCACTACCTTAACCCTGACCTTGTTGGAATCAAATCTATTAAGCCTGGACTGTGCGCTTGCATGCATGATCCATCTTTGGTCTGTCCCATCGGCCCGATGGTTAAATGACCGTGTCCACTTGGACGCTCCTGCAGGACAGCATACCGTGCACCCTTCCTCTCTGGAATTTCCGACACTGCGTAGCTGACCGGCGACCCCTTCCACACTTAGCAACGGGTCAGGGCCTGCTCCGCTCATCGGACCTCTTCTCCGGACGTAGGAGGAACAAGGACGACAGGCCAGCCACCACCAGTGAGCGAGCGCATCGTCCCGATGTCCTCGACGCTGGCACTAGCGGCGGGGCGGGACCTGTCCACCATCGGGCTGTCCGCCTGGCCCGGACGACCCCCGAGCCCTCGAGTGATCCAGTTCTCTCTCCATCGCGTGGATGGACTATGGAGACCACACTCATAGCCCACCGTCAGGCACATGGCTGGCCACCGTCCATGCTGCTAGCCTGCGACACGAGACCGTCCAATTTAAGGTTGCTGTCCTCTTGCGGACACGGTGGACTCGAGCAGCCGTGTTGGCCACCCCTCTGGAGGCAGGTTTCCGGGGAGGCCAGCCAAACGGCCAGCCCGCGGACAAGGCGTCGTCGGACCAACTCTCCACCCTCATCTCGCAAAATGGAGAATTGGCCGCAGGCAGCAGAAGACGGCCTAGGGGGGAAACCCGAAGCAGGTACGAGACCGACCCTCGTAAGTTGGCAACCTTCCTCATCGTCAGGCTGTCTGGTTGGAGTCTACTTACTACGGGATGCTCACCGGAGCTGGCTTTCCCTATCTTACCCGATCCGCGTATGACCCGGTAATCCACTGCGGTATTGACGGTTTGGTCAGAGGCGTTTCAAGCGCGTAACAAGCATCGACTAAACCACCCCCTAGTAAGCATAGGCAGTACACCAGCAGGGCTAGCCACTGCTACTACGAGTAATCCCTACAGCCTCATAGCTGCCTTTGTTCCACTCCCAGGTGCAGAGATATTAATCAGGGAGAAATCCACGATTCATCTTGATGCATGTGGATCCACCCATGGTTGCGGGGTCCCTTTGTTGCTCTGATTCAACCAGAGGATGAAGCTCTCCATCTCCTCCCCCAGTTGTGCCTGCCCGCCCGACATGCTTCCTCTTGAGTTGGGCCAGATCACTCGTTGGCCAGAACTATCCGATCCTGCAGCTGCAGTGCATGATGATGCAGTAGTCGGTTCACAGCCTCGTCCTGGCGCGTCGTCGTATTAACCGGCTTTAGCCCAGGGCCCTGGTCAACGGTAATCATGACGGTAGTGCTCATCAGGCTCTTCTTCGGTACTAATCCCTATTTACTGCAACACTGGTGCGGGCGCTGCCCCGGGCAAAAGCACGGTGCAAGAGGCGTTTCCTAGTACTTTAGAAACTCCTGCAAGTGGCGAGTCATAATAAGCAGTTAACAAATAACACGGCTGATGATCGAGGCGTATGAGATATTGCCAAGCCCAAACAAGGTTGTCCAGGGAAGCCGTTAGCCATCATCGTTGGCCGGAAAGAGTGGGTGTCCTGCCGGATGGATCATGTATTGAGAAAAGGGCAACCGAGCACAGGACAGTCGCTTGGCCACTGCATGCCTGCACAGGCAGTAGATAGTGACCACAGTAAGCTGCCCCTTCTGTACGCGCCAGCATGAGTCGTTGATTGCTTCTGTACTGGTTCTCAAGCACGTTTCGGCCCCACGGGAGGAACAACCGCGAGGTCCACCGCACTAGTGCTCCATAATCACGGTCTCCCACGCTACCCACGATGTCCTGGAGATAACAGTCGCAGATAAGCAGATAAGCATGTAATGGACCTTGGTCATCGCGGCCAATGGCCGTCCGTCAATCGGGGTCAGTTCGAAGCGATGGAGTACTCTCAAGATGCATGCCACGATTGCCGCTCCCGGTCGCCTGGCTCCAAAAGGACGGCCAAGCTGGGGTAAGACCAACAAAAATATTTGGTCAACAAAAGGATAAAACCCGAAGCAAGCACAAGGTCAGCCAAGCATGTGAAAGGGGAATATCAAGCGCAGCCAGTCATTGGTTTTGGGGGGGAATATTGGGGCCGTGGCAAAAGCAATAGAGTTCGACGGGAATAGACAGGAGCCTTGGGAGGAAGGCAAAGCGGGCGAGTGGCGCCGTGCACGGATCCGGCTGACTCACCCGCCCGGCCTTAACTCCGTTGGTCGGAAAATGCCCATCGATCGACAGTATCTCCAGCCTGTCTACCTCATGGTCCACGGACACGCCCAATAAGGCCCGTTCCAAGTCATTCCTAAATTCTGTAATCATCATCAATAGTGTTGATAATTCGCATCTCCAGAATTCCTGAGCCAGCGCCACGCAAACCTAGAATAAGACGGGGTATGTCTACTCCCTTTTGGTCCGGATGCAGCGACCAACTTCCGGCGGGACGCTCGAACAGGAAATCGGTCTTATGAAGCACAGATGCGTGCCTGAGCTAACCAGCCCAAGTAAGTACACCGTCGCTAAGAGTGTCTGGGATAGCTGTACTTTGGAGTTTCCCTCTGGCGTGCGGCAAATCGAGCTTCCGGCCCACCATAGTCAAACCTGTTCTATGACCCCTCAACAATATCATTAGAATGTTAGTTTCAAGGGGTCGGCGTGAAAAAACCCGTATAGCACCAGAAGGTTGATCTCTTCGCATCATGCAATATCATAATCAGGCAACGTCACCGACCGACTGGACCAGCATACCGCGTCGCCGGGGACGATCTGAGACGTCATCAGTAGGCGGAACGCACCCGGAAGACATCCGCCCCATATTCCGTGTCGACTATTGGGGTAGCCTTCACCCCATCTTCCAGCCTCGGCAGATTTCCCATTTTCGTCTCCCACTCTGTCTCCAGTCTGTGGAAGGTTCAATAAGTCCTTCCTGTTTTGTTCAAATGTGGATCGAGGCGTCATGCGCCGCTGTCAGGCAGCATCAATCGGAAGACAGATAATAGTCATCAGAATTGCACCGGAGATGTCAATCATGAGCATAAAAGATTACATCCGACCAAAGTTGATAGCGAAAACATTCGTCTTCCGGCATATTCCTACCCCCCCCCCCCCACGCTAGGATCGGTTCGATTTTCTCGCGGCTGGCGCGGGTCTGCCGGAAATTCAGACAATGCAATACAGCCTGAACCCCTGCAATGAGCTTTTCCCGCATCAAGTGTGCAGGAACTGTGGAAATAAGATGTGCCAGCATGCCCATGGAGGGTCGTCGTATGCTGAGAGGGAATGCCTGATGAAGCCTGACTGGTGCGGTCGAGAGAGTTTTGCGAAGATCAAATGCGACCGTGAAAGGAGGGTTGACTAGCAATGCAAGAAGGTAATGACTGCGCCGTCAAAGAGTGTCTGCATGTGCCAGTAGCATGTCCCCTAGTTGCGAGTAAGTGTGTACATATACAAGAGATACTAGCATGAACCGATGGGTCGGGACGGGGAGGGCGTGGAGATAGTTTGGGGGTAAAATGGGGCACTAGAGTCAGCGTTAAAACTGGGCTTTATCCACAGTACACACACGGCTTCTCTTATATACCGATGGTTTGAGAGCTTCGTGAGAAAATAAAAGAGCTCAAACACTAGCCTTGTCTGCCGTGTGCGATGAAAGGGGGGAATAAATGCCAGAGGAACAAGGATGAACCGAAAGGCCAGCAGTCACTGTCGACCACTTCGACTTCCAGTGTTTATATATGATCCACAAAACTCCAGGAAAAGGCCTTCAGCGCCCAAAGGGGTGGACTGGCTTCTACTAACCGCATACAGCCCCCCACAGGAGCGCGATAAGGCATCACAGGTGAATGGCGGTCAACCAGGTTCTCACTTGTCAGTCCCTGTCGCTGGGCGAAGAGATCAGAAGTCTCAGCCCAATGGGAGCAGCACCGGATTTTGTACTGGAGGAGCGCCCTCTAAAAACAGGGGCCCTCGCCGACCATCGGCCAGGAGTCGCGATAATCATATTGATAACTATGCATATTGTCGCCATCGAGGCGCCCGGACAGCCTGGAGATAAGGCCAGAAAAGCACAGACACGTCACGTCGTGGATGCTGAACCTGGTACCTTGAGCCTGCAATCATCACCAAAGGGGCAATCAGATTGCAGCATGACAGCTGTTATCAACCCAGCTAATGCTGGCTATCAGGGCCGTTGATGATATTAATAAAGTGAGGCTGTTGCTCTCCGCATTATCGGACCCCAGACCGAACGATCGGTGGCGCGCACACACACACCCCCATACCCACACATCCACACACACAACACGCACCGATCACTTCTGAAAGGCCAGTGACTCATGCCTGGTATACTCAAGTTCCGCAGAAGGCCACAGAGCAAAGCCCACAAGAGTGTGAGCAGCGACACAGCATTCCTACAACATGGTTCCGCTCCGGACACTCTGTACTCTGACGAAATTCGATCCCCGACCGAGCTTATCAGAGGATCGTTATCACCTCGGAGCAAATATACTTTCTCCTGGTCTGCTCCGGTTTCAACCCGCCAGGCGTATCCGACAGTGTGATAAGCAATACTGCAGAAAGCCCCTATTATTGGCAGATCCGTCTGTGAAGGTGTTTATCAGTCAACCAAGCCCGAAGATCCGTTTGGTCCGGGGTTGTCATTCGGATGAACAATGGACGGCAAGCTATTGCTTAGGTGTCCTGTCTGTTCTTCTGATCGCCGTTGCAGCTAGCAAGGGTCGGGGAATCTTCCAATCATATTGTCAGTGTTACGGTGTTATCGACATGGTGCGGGAAAAGCAAACACACAAAAAGCAATCTGCCTGTGACATATCTTCATGGGTACATCAGCAGGATAGCAGACAGCATGTAGTTCGGAATTGTGCTGTGAGGGTGAAGATGGTGTAGTAAAGAGTAAACTGGAGTGAGAGTTGACTCTGTAGTAACTCTCTTCTTCAAAAAGGGCTCCTCGTGACCACCCTGTGCCTGCCTAATCGGGATGCGTCCAGATCGCGTCACACCGATGATGTCATTTCTGGTCTGGCTGGCGTCTTGAAGGAATATGTTGTGATGGCAGTAAGCAGAAATACTTCACGTAGAAGGCAATACAGTACTGGGATGTTTGGGTGTCAGTCGCACAAATCAATGCGGTGGCTACTGCGCGTGGACAAATGAGTCCATCGACAGATGCAATCTAGACCTGGGTGTATATCACAAGCATGTGACGGAAACTGGCTGTGAGGTGTACTGCGGAAATCTCGAGCCGCTTGTTCTCGTATATCAAGTGTTTCCATAAGAGATTCTTGTAGAAAGCTTCCGATATGAAAGGACTGGCTGCAGAATAGATGCACTGATGGTATGTGAGAAGCTGATATGTGGAGTAATTACACATTAAGATGATTCTAGAGCTAAAGGTAACAAGTTGACTCTTGGATGCAGCGGACATTGCTATTGCTGGCACTAACCATTGCGTTCTGGCTCCATTCTTGTTCCTTCTGGCTACTTCTGGCTAGTAATGTGCCTTCCCTACCGGTGTGACTGATCAATAAACACTCTTATCCGAGTGTAGCTACACCAAGCAGCCCAGGACACTGAAACAGCAGCCTCTCGAACGGTACGGCACGTTGCAATTGTCATGGTAAGCCCGAGGAAGTCGATACCATGTGCGCCATAGGCCAAAGGGATTCTGATTTACGCACGAGAGGAGTAGTTGGGGAAAACGAAAGACCGTGTGGGATCTGCAGTGAACTAAGAGGCAGTTGTGTGCCGTTTTCTATTCCATAATGATCGGGTACTAGAGGTAGAGGGTGGCTTATAGGGGTCTATGTCAATAAGAAA